TAACCCTAAATCTAACCCTATCCCTAACCCTAAAACTAACCCTAAACATAAACATAACCCTATCCCAATCCGTAACCGAATCTGAAACCCTAACCCTTTCCCTATCCCTAAACATAATTCTATCCTAACCCTAACCCTAACCCTAACCCTAACCCTAAACCTAAACCTAACCCTATCCCAATCCCTATCCTAACCCTAACCCTAACCCTAATCCTTTCCCTTTCCCTAATCATAATTCTATCCTAACCCTAACCCTCTGGACTAAAGATGTGGTGTAACCTATACTTAGGCAGGTAGAGCAGAAACACCTTCCTGACCGTGTGTTTATAGGCCTGGATGGAGATGTGGAGTCTTTAGGCTCCTCCCCCTTTTTTATTTTACCAAACAGGGCGACGGCTCCGGTCAGATTCTCCCTCTGGCTGCCGATCGAGTCCAGCTCCAGGATTCGCTCCATCAGGTTGCCGTAGCAACGCCAGCCGTCGCCGATCTGCCGCTGCGTGCAGACGCATCTGAGAGAGGAGAGAAAAAGCCTTTAGCCCCGTTCTAAAGGTTTTCAGCCTCCGAATGAAAAGGAAAATGAAAAGGAAAACTAGCTAAAGACCAGGAAGACAAACAAGAGCAAAACAAATCTGGTTTAGTAGTTTAGGCCATTTTTTAATGTTTGAATGATGTCGACATCATGTTTTAAGTCACAAAAATCGGAAATCTGCCCAGACTCTGTTTCCACGAGGACACTTAACCCTAAACCTAACCCTAACCCTAACCTAACCCCAATCCAAACCCAACCTTAACCCTAACCCAACCCTTACCCTAACCTTAATCCTGACCCAACCCCAACCTTAAACCTAACCTGATCCAATTTAACCCTAACCCTAACCCTAACCATAACCATAACCATAACCTAACCCCAATCCCAACCCAACCCTAACCCTAACCCAACCACAATCCTAACCCAACCTTAACCCTAACCCTAATCCAACCCAACCCCAACCTTAACCCTAACCTAATCCAACCTAACCCTAACCTTAACCCTAACCATAACCATAACCATAACCATACCCCAATCCCAACCCTAACCCTAACCCAACCCTACCTTAACCCTAACCCTAACCCTAAGACAAAGCCAACCCTAAGTAAAATCCATGTCGAACCTTAATCCTAACCATCACCTAACCCCAACCCCAACCCAACCCTAACCCTAACCCTAACCCAACTCTAACCCAACTTTAACCTTAACCCTAACCCA